CCAAGCATGAGCTCTTGTATTCTATCACCATAGATCTAATTTATACCATGAATCAAGTAGAATAAATGTGCCCATAGCCTTCCTTTCCTTTGAAGTGTTCAGTTCTCACTGAAGTTGGTAACCAGGTTATTTTCTAGTTGTCAATTCTGCATCCGTAAGTGCCATTGTTGTATGGTGGTGTTTCCTAGACTTTCCCTGATGCAGTTTTACCTTTGTTGGATTTGTATAATAAACAATTGTTTAAAAAAAAATCCACTCTTGGTGTTTGAGAGTTTGTTTTTATGAGAGGGCTAAAATTCTACTTTGAATGGCCAGGGTAAATGGACCCCAAACTAATTTCTCTGAGACATGTAACAACCTGAGACGCATGAGATTTGTTTCTGACCAGGTAATGGGAAACAACTATGCTGCAGTTTTGGCCACTTGTGGATATTAGTGTTCGATCGTCTCCTACCACACCTGTACAAAAGTAATTCCCATGCATGGCCGCTGTCTCTCTCACTCTTCTACTGCTGTGATAAAATACTGTGACCAAGGCAACTGACAAGAGAAGCTGAATTGAGTTTATGCTCAGAGGGTTAGAATTTAGGGTGATGGAGTGGGGGTGCAGAGGGAGAGGTAAGAGCTATGGCAGCAGCTGAGAGCTCTTATCTTTATTGATCCACAAGTGGGAGGCAGAGGCAAGTGGGAATGAATCTTTTGTTCATCTCCTCCAATGAGATCACACCTCCTAATCCTTCCCAAAACAGTTCCAAAGCTATTTAACATTCTTTCCTGGAAGTTATCCAGATGTAGAGGGCACAGGTAACATTCCCCGCCCCAACCTTTGAAGGAGGTTGCATTCTGTGCAATGACCTTGGACCTGGGGGCTAGAAAACTAAAACATTAGAATTTGGAGTCAGTTCTGACTTGATGTTCATGTATAGAAATGAAAAGATGGGTAAAATAAAGACCTTGACACTGCAAGCCCTGGTTTTAAAAGAACTCATCTAAAGCATTTGCCTCTTATTTAAATCCAAACACCTTTTTGTGACTCAAATTTTAGCAACACTGACTTCTATATGTTTAACTCAGGGGAATAACACAGAATTAAGACTTGTTAACACTGTTGTTGACTTGTAAAAAGGTAGTTTGACTTTACTGGCCTTGAAGGTATGTTATATAGATGTAGCGGCCATTTCTGTGGTAGTTTTAGTTCTTTTAACCTCAAAGTAAAACAGCTGCATCCTGATGTTTAGAAAAGCCATCTTCGTCAGGTGGTGTCAGCAAACACCTTTAATCCCAGGACTCAGGAGGCAGAGGCAGGCAGGTCTCTGAGTTGAGGCCAGCCTTCTCTACAAAGTGAGTTCCGGGAAGGCCAGGGCTACACAGAGAAATTCTGTCTTTAAACAAACCAAAAAAATGAAAGGAAGAGAAAGGAAGAAAGAAAGAGCCATCTTCCATGCTTTTGTACCCTGTAAAGGTTTGTCACTCATTGGTTTAATAAAATGCTGATTGGCCAGTAGACTAGAATTTTGGAAACAGGAAAGATAGTCAACAGCCAGACACAGGAAACAATGAGAATGAGAAAAGGTACCAAGTCACATAGCTAAACATAGGTAAGAATTATGAACTAATTTAAGTTGTCGAGCTACTTAATAATAAGCCTGAGCTAAGGCCAAACAGTTTATAATTAATATAAGCCTCTGTTTGTTTCTTTGGGACTAAATGACTAAATGGTGGGACATTTAGTAGGACTATTTAAATTTGATAGAAACTTCTATCAAAAATGGCACTCAACATTCAGCAACAACCACATAAAACCCAAGAGAGCTTGGGAAGGGATTCTAGACAGAAAAGAACAGTTAAGCATGGCTTCTTGGTAGCAGCATTTTCACAGATGGGCTCTGGTAGAGACAAGCTCCTTGAAGAGGGGCTTCCAGACTCAGTGTTAGTTGCAAAAACTTCACAGCTCTTTTGAGAGGCCCTGCCACCACACACTTAAATGGTGTTTATGTGCAGTCAGCAGCATGCTTCTTAGTGGTGGCATGGACATGGCTCCTGCCAGAAGCTCTGCCATGAAGCCAGACTATCAGAAAGCTAAGGAATGCGGCAGAGCAAACCGCCAACACCACAGCTTTAATCCTAGCCATGCTGTTTACCAGATTAAAGACTCATGTGCTCAGAAAAAGAGCTATAAAGAGATTCAGATGGGCTAAACACACACACACACACACACACACACACACACACACACCTCTAAATGGTTTATAGTATGTTTAAATTTAAAAACATAGGTAGGCTTGGAAAAGAAAAAGGTTAAAATCCTTAAAGACAAATAGAGTAGTTGGGTGTGGTGGCGCACACCTTTAATCCCAGCACTTGGAAGGAAGAAGCAGGCGGATCTCTGAGTTTGAGGCCATCCTGGTCTACAGACTGAGTTCTAGGACATCCAGAGGTACACAAACTGTCTTGAAAAACCAGAAATTAAAAAATAAGTAAATAAAAATGCCACGTAAAGATGGAAAATATGCAGAGAATCTGGATGCTGTATATTATCGTGTTGTCTTTGAATTGTTTTATTGCTAAGGAGCAACAGCTGCTAAAAGACATTTAATTATAAATGCTGCTGGATTAATCCAACCTATATATTTTGAAAATGCCTTGACTTCAAGATTTAAGTCAAAAGATAATGTTACTCTGGAGAAGAGTTTTTGATTTTATTTCCACAGGAAATGAGAGGCTGTGGATTCGTTCTGAGTTAAGAAAAATCAGGTTTTATTGTGGAAGAACCCCTGAAAAATCTCTTGATAGGAGCAGATGGTTCAGATGATCCAGTGTCTCAGAGCACCTTTGTTGCAATTTCCTCTGAGTTCTACATCCAGAACAGCTATAGGGTGACTGGTCGAGGTGATCCAGCCTCACTGAATACTCTAGTCAGGATTTGACTATAATCCTAAATTTTCTTTGGGTACCCATAAGATTATCAGTGCCCCCAATCAGCAGAAAGTAGCATAGAAAACTATGCCCATGTTTCCAAAAAATAAATTGTGGATGTTTGTCTTTTTTTAAGAGTGTTGGTTACAAGTTGATATAATGGTCAGAAAAAAGGCTAAACAAGAAGATTAGATTCAGGGTTCTTGTTGAAAAGAAACAAGGGAAAGTGCTATGAGATAACGTTCTTGTACCCTCTACAGATTTGTCACACATAATGGTTTAATAAAATACTGATTGGCCAATAGCCAGGCAGGAACTATAGGTGAGACGGTGGGGCAACCAAACTAGGAGAATTCTGGGAAGAGGAAAGGCCGAGAGTCAAATCAACAGCTAGATGCAGAGGAAGCAAGATGAGGATGCCTTACTGAAAAAAGGTACCAAGCCATATGGCTAAACATAGACAAGAATTAGGGTTAATTTAAGTTGTAAGAGCTAGGCCTGAGCTAATAGGCCAAGCAGTTTATAATTAGTATAAGCCTCTGTGTTTCTTTGGGACTGGATGGCTATAGGACAGGGCAGGACAGAAACTTCTGTCTATACATCTTTCCCTCTAAGAACTGCTTTCATGGTTATTCTCCCCCCACCCCCAAACAGTTCTTGCTAAGAATCTGGCTTCACACCACACGCACATAGCAGAGGAACATGATGTAGTTCCAGACTAGTACACAGGTCACAGTCAACATCCCCCAAGGAGTATTGAACCATCAAGGAAGATTCTATCCCAGTTTCTAGGTTTTTGTTAATTGTTACATTTATTTATATATGTGACGTGCATGCTGCACCCTGGCTCACATGTGGAGGAAGTAGATTCTCTCCTTCCACCATGAAGTTTGAACTCTGGTCATGAGGGTCATGACAAATACCTTTACCTACTGAGCCATTTCAACAGCTCTCTCTATAGTTTTAGAGAAGCTTCAGATGAAGCCAGTGTAAACCACACACTGTAAACAGGTGCTCCACAGCTGTTAAAGTAATACAAGGACCATAGCCTTGTGAATATACTTGCTATGGTCAATCTGAACTAGTAGACCAGTCAGTCTATCAAGGGACCCTGATGTTTGTCGAAGATACCATGGTGTCTCAAATTACATTCTTTTCTACTGTGAAGACAAGAATAAGGAGAGTTCATTCTATTCTGCTGTGAACCTTTAGCACTTTATCCATTTGCCATATGTTATGGGCATGATATGCCAGTTAAAGTATGCAGCTTCCAGAAGAAATGTTTACCCTCTGAAAAAAAAAAAAAAAGGAAGAAGAAGAAGAAGACCCAAAAAAGTAAGCAGTCAAGCAGTCAGTCATCCCTGGCGTTCACCATGGACTGGCTCCAAGATCCCTGTCCACAGATGGGAAAATCCACACATGCTTAATGCTTAAGTCACGTGTAGTATAGTATTAAATACCTTGTACATATAATCCTGTGCATTTCACATCATACCCAGATGATTTACAATACATTCAATGTAAAGTGAGGTGAATTGACAGTTCTCAACCAAAAGCAAACCCTGAATTAAGTTGGCCCTTTCTGCATAAGCTATTGATCTCAAGTTCTCATTTGCTATATGGACTAAAAGGGCTGAAAAAAAGAAACCTTAATGTTAGAGTTAGACTGGAAATCTATTGTCTGTCTCTTCCCCCATCCCAGTGCTGTAAGGTAACATGTGGCTTACTAATAACAGTATTATCTCTAGCCATTAGCTACACCCTAGGTACTATATATATTTTCTAAATGTATATATACATACTCCTTAGCTGAGATTTTAGACAAAGCTATTACCTTCTCAAAGACTGGCGTCTCCATCCATGTGTGCCAGCTTCTATTTTAGACTGATGGTAGGGACTGAGAAAACCATAAAGCATCTAACAATACCTTGTCACAGTAAACACGACTATGGTAAGTAAGCAGCAAAGATGTCTGAAGGCGTCCACATCTCTTCTGAAGAGAGGTGCTAGACCAGGATGCTGATGTCTGTTCATGCTATTTGCAAATAAGTTTGAAACTTAGGGAGACAATATAAACTACAATAGCCTTTTAATCTAATTTTATTCCTGAAGTTGAAATTACTAGCAGGTAGCACTAAAAATACACCTTCACTATACAAAACAGTGTAAACTGATTATATGTTAATAAAGAATTTAGCACACACACACACACACACACACACACTTCTAAGATAAGAAGCTAGATGCAGCTCTTGCTATTAAAAGCTGTACCTGAACAAAAATGGACATATTTATCTGAGGCCCTGGCAGTTGACTATAGAATGTCAGTTGTCTCCCAATTATGTTTAAATGCAGAGATAGCAACAATGTGGAAACTTATATTCATCAAATATTAGCATTTAAAATATACATGACTAACAAAGTGAACATTCAGAGCATCCACTGCTCAGTATAGTCCACACTAGCCCACTTGTGAACAATGAGTTCATTTCTAAGTGAACATAAGTTTCAAACACATGATAAAAAGGGGAAATTAAGAGACAGGCCTCCATAGAGCAAGAGGAAATACCCACACTGACAGTCTGACCTCAGCAACTAGTGCTCAGGGGAAATAAGTGATAAAACCCAGCAGAAGCTGGGAAAGCCATGTGTCCACAGGCATATAGGCCTGTCTTAGGATGAACTTTCTGTCCCCAATCAGTAATGAAAATAATTTTTAAAAATAGTCTCTGCCTTGGAACAGTAAGTTTCCAGTCCTTTATGCACTCAGATGTTTGGGGTAGAATCATGGGCGTGTGTCACTGCAAGGGGCCTCAATCTCATGACTTGAAAACATGCACAGCTCGCACCACATACTGCCGACAGATGGGACACTCACTCATGCGCTTGCCACACTTGGTGCAGGTGACCATGTGCCCACACTCCAGCAGGACACAGTCAATGACTGCATCCATGCAGATTCGGCACAGGCTGTCGTCTTCCTCATCCTGAAGCTGCATCCGCTCACCATCTGAAAAGAAACAGAGAGTTAGGGCTCTGGAAGTGGCCACTGGCCTTGCTCCCCTACCCACGGCCAAGCAGCCATCTTCTGAGCAACGAACACAGGCTCAGTACCACCCCAGTGCTATACAGAAAGTAGTCCCTTAACCTCCCTCCCTACACTTCTTATACTAGATGTGATACGCATCTCAGATTTCCGGAAGAAATATGTGGCTTAGGACCAGCTAAAATGTGTTCCATAAATGTTGGCTACTTATTTCTGTTTTATGATGCAATAGAAGAGGTTTGTAATGAAGATATATTCATTCTATAGGAAAAAGAAATAGGGGCTAGGGATGTAGCTCAGTTGGTAGAGTACCTGCCTAGCTTGTGTGAAGTCTTGGGTTTGATTGCCTGGCTTACAGGCACAACAGTATATGCTTGTAATCCTAGCACTTGGGAAGGTAGAGGCAAGAGCTTAGAAGTTCAAGGTCCTCTTTATAGAGTGAATTTGAGACCAGCCTGAGTTACAGGAGACCTTGTCTCAAGTAAAACAAACAAACAAACAAACAAAAACAATCAACCCATAAAGTACAAGTTTAGCTGGATGTTTCAGCTGTATGGCCATGAAGATGAGACAGTCGCATTTCGGTAAAAGGAACTTTATTCCACAAATAATAAGAAAAACTAGATTCAACAAATGACTGATTGTCTAGCTTACCTGGTAACAGTTGTCTCAAAGCCCATGTAATGTAAGACTATTTAGCAGCTCAATAAACTGGCTTACATAACTAACCCAGGGACTAAAAAGATACATTTGCTTTTCTAAAATATCGATTTATTTATTTAATTTTAGGTGTTATAGGTGTTTTGCCTGCATTTATGTCTGTGTATCACTTAAATGCCTGGTTCCCATAGAAACCAGAAGAGGAACAGGGTCCCCTAAATTGAAATAACAGAGTAGGGAGTCTCTATGTAGCACTGAGAATTGACCTTGGTACTCTAGAAGAACAGCCAGCAGTTTTTAACTACTAAGCCATCTCCCTAGCCCCAAATCTTTTTTTTTAATGGTTTGTGTTTTAATAATTTAATTTTTAATTTTATGTACACTGGTGTTTTGGCAGGCATGCATGTCTGTGCTACAGACAGTGGTGGGTTGCTTGTGAGTGTGTGAACTGAACATAGATCTTCAGGAAGAGCAGCCAGTGCTCTCAACCACTGAGTCATTTCTCCATCCCAGTGATTTTTATTTTCAAGATAGGGTCTGACAGCTAGCTACCCTCCCGCCTTAACTTTCTGAGTACTGGGATCACAGGCATGCACTGCCACGTGACTAAATCCGACTTAATTATGGCAACAAACAACCCAGTTTTTAAAGCCCAAGAAAGGATACTCGGGAGAAAAAGGAAAATTAAACCTACATGACTTTTGGTTTTCTTCATTCTCTTTGTACAACCGGTTGACTTTCTCTACCAGCTCCCATTTTTCACAACAGCCAGAATAGTTGACAAAATTCCGAGCCAGGATCTCCTTCAGCTGGCGCACACTCATCCCTTCTACCTCTTCAAGGCTTGACAGGTCGGACAGCGAGGCTCTCACTTTCTTCTTAGAGAGCCCTGGGTTCTGAAATCAGAACATCTATTAACTTTGTCTCCACACGTCCAGATGCCTCTCCTATTTTGGTCCAAATGGCTCTGGATGCTCTCCCCAGACTCCTCAAGTTCCCTGAGGTAATGCAATACAGTTGTCTACAGCTGAACTAGAAAAAAATGTCCTGTGCTGATCTAGAGGAAGTCCAGCATCTTCCCTTTCTGCCAATGCATTTATCAGGAAATGCAGTTTTAAAGGAGTTTTACCTGTTCCTCCAAGTTTTCTTCTTGTTCTTCATCATCATCTTCTTCTTCATTATCATTATCATCATCTTCATCTTCATCGTCATCATCATCATCATCTGTGTTGGCTGAAGCTATCTCACTTTGCACCTATATGTATGACAAATCCAACTGATAACTAATCAGGCTTCTCTAATTTTTACTTTACTTCTCTTCAGAGAAAAACTATCCACTGATCCTCCAAGGTTACTTTAGAGCCAGGTCAACAGAGCAAGCAGAACATTCCTTCAATCCCCGCACTCGGGAGGCAGAGGCAGGCAAATCTTTGTGTGTTCAGTGCCAGCCTGGTCTATAAAGTTAGTTCCAGGACAGCTAGGACTGTTACACAGAGAAACCACGTCTCAAAAAACAAAACGAAACAAAACAAAAATCCTTGATAAACCGGCTAGTGGTGACACACAACTTTAATCGTAGCACTTGGAAGGCAGAGGCAGGACAGGAAATTCTCTAAATTCAAGGCCAGCCTAATCTACAAAATGAGTCCAAGACAGCCAGGGCTACACAGAGAAACCCTGTCTCGGAAAAAAAAATTCTCAATAAACAACAGTTTTAATTAGAAAAACAAAAATTCTTTCTATTTTGTATTATATATTTTCTTTCACATATTTTCCTTTGGGGCTAGAGAGATGGCTCAGCAGTTAAGAGAACTGGCTGCACTTCCAGAGGTCCCAGGTTCAATTCCCAGCACCCACATAACAGCTCACAACTATAACTACAATTCCAGGGGATCCAACACCCTCATACAGACATAAATGCAGACAAAACACCAATTAAAAAATAAAAATTAAACCAGGCGGTGGTGGCGCATGGCACGCCTTTAATCCCAGTACTCAGGAGGCAGAGGCAGGTGGATCTCTGAGCTCGAGGTCAGCCTGATCTACAAAGTGAGTTCCAGGACAGGCTCCAAAGCTACACAGAGAAACCCTGTCTCAAAAATACCATAAATAACTAAATACAGATTTTTTTTTTAAAGGCAAAGTCTAACCTGTGCTAGAATTAACTCATTTCCTTCCTGCCCCCACATTCCAAATGCTGGAATTGTAGATGTATACCACCACGCTTAATGACATTCTTTGGCCACAGCATATAATAGCTAGGTTGGTTCCAATATCACATATTTCACCCTACAGGCACTACGTTGCAGCACTGTGCCACCTACATCTCCCCCAAATGGTGTCATATATCCCCAAAATGGTACAAGTCAGATATATCTTTATATAATTACGCAAGTTCTCATTTGAGAAAAATCATAAAACTTTGGTCCTTGTCTTACCTAAATTATGAATTTTTGGATAACAGCTAAATCAATCTTTCCGTCTCTGTCCTTTGTTTTAGTTTTTGGTTTTTCAGATAGGGTTTCCCTATGTAGTTCTGGCTGTCCTGGATCTCACTCTGTAGACCAGGCTGGCCTTGAACTCACAGAGATAGGTTGTGGAATATTACTTTAACTAGGGAAAGATGTGTTTATGCTAGGTTTTTTGGGGGTTTTTGTTTGTTTGTTTTTGTTTTTCGAGGTTTCTCTGTAGCTTTGGAGACTATCCTGGAACTAGCTCTTGTAGACCAGGCTGGTCTCGAACTCAGAGAAATCCACCTGCCTCTGCCTCCCAAATGCTGGGATTAAAGGCGTGTACCATTGCTGCCTGGCTATGCTGTTCTTTAACATGTAAAGATGTGTTGCTTTGACTGTCTTTTTTGTTGGTGGGATTTTTTGTTTGTTTGTTTTGTTTTTCGAGACAGGGTTTCTCTGTAGCTTTGGAGCCTGTCCTGGAACTAGCTCTTGTAGACCAGGCTGGCCTCAAACTCACAGAAATCCACCTGCCTCTGCCTCTGCCTCCTGAGTGCTGGGATTAAAAGTATGTGCCACTATCACCTGGCTTGCTTTGACTGACTAAAGCACCCGATTGTTCTAATAAAAAGTTGAACGGCCAATAGCTAGGCAACAGAAGGATAGACAGGACTGACAGGAAGAGAGAAGTAGTAGGAGGAAGAATCTGGGCTTGAGAAGAGAATGAGGGAGCCGCCAGAGGCCAACCAGCCAGACTCTGAGTAGGACATACAGGATGAAAGAAAGGTAAAAAGCCCTGAGGCAAAACATAGATGAAGAGAAACATGTTAAGTTATAGAGCTTGTGGGACAAGCACAAGATAAGGCTGAGCATTTCAGACTCATTTATGTACAACAAACTATGAGTTGCAACCCTGCATGTTATCCAGCTATGATGCTCAAGAACATTATTAGGATAGTATTCTTTTTATTTTTTTTAATTTTATTTATGTTTTATGTATGAGTGCTCTGCATGACAGATGAGGGCATCATATCCTATTATAGATGGTTGTAAACCACAATGTAGTTGCTGGGAATTGAACTCAGAATCTTTGGAAAAGCAGCCAGTGCTCAATTGCTGAGCCATTTCTGCAGCCCGAGATAGTATTCTAATTATACTAAATAAGTACATTTATTTTTGTTATTTAAATTAGGTAATTTTGTAATAGGAGATATAGCTTAGTTAAGAGTACTTGCTTAGACTGTGTAATGGTGGTATAGGTCTTTAATCCCAGCATTAGAGAAGCAGAGGCAGATGAATCTCTGAGAGTTCGAAGCCAGCCTGGTCTACAAAGTGAGTTCCAGGACAGCCAGGGCTACACAGAGAAACCCTGTCTGGAAAAATTAACAAGAATGCTTGCTCAGTACGAATAAACCCCTGGGTTCAATCCCCAGCACCACCTAATCCAGACTATAATGATGCACACATTTTTGACCCCAGTGCTCAAGGGGCGAAGCTGGGAAACCAGAAGTTCAAAGTCAGGGATGGGGTGGAGAATAAAGCTCAGATAATTAAAATGCTTGCTGTACAAGGACCTGAGTTCAGGATCCCAGCACTCACACAAAGGCAAGGTGAAGAGCACATGTTTCGATGCCAGCACTAGAGACAGTGATAGGAGCATCCCTGAGGCTTTCTGGCCAGACTGCTAGCAGAATCAGTGACTCCAGGTCAGTAAAAGCCCAGTCTCACAGATTAAGGTAGAGAACTGAGCAAGCAAAACATACACACATGAACAGGTCATCCTCAGCCCCAGAGGGAGTTTGATGCTAACCTGAGGTAGAGACCTTGTCTCAAATTAAGTAAATAAGAGCAAGTCAGAACAATTTCCCTTCATCAAGGTCAATGATTATTAACTATTGAATGTTTCTATGGTCACTGACACTTTAGTTACTACTCCAACAGTTAACTATACAAATTCTATAACTACACAAGACAGGAAACAGAGGACAAGAAACTCATGAGCTATTTCAGACTACACATCAGGCAGACATGCACTGCAGCCCTGAGGATGGAATCTCTGCCCTTCATCTGAAGTCACCCAGCACTGTCGATCCCTATCACATATGGGCAAGAGTGTACACACCAGGCTCCAGGGTCATCAACGACACCATCCTACCTGTGCCAGAACTTCTGATCTGAAGGTCCCATCTGTGTCCATGAGCTCACCCTGGAAGGAGGACACAGTAGCAGAGGGGGCTGTATAATTTGAAAAAAAAGATTGTGTAAAAAAACTAGAAGTCTGGGACCGTGAGGAATTCAGGCTGCTTGAGTCCAGGTCACCCCCTGAAGCTAGTCCACGATGGCACAGTACTAGATCTACCAAGTCTTCTTTCTCCCGACAAGTGTCAGTCGGTATGTTTCTGAGGAGGAGATACTGCCGTAGGTCCTTCACTTTCAGCCGCATCAACTGAGGGCGCTGGAAGGCTGTCTCCTGCAGTAGGTGACAAGTAGAACATCTGCGGAGGTTTCCGTGTGAAACCGAGCAAAAGGAGCAGAAGTCCTTCTTGCAGTCACAGCAAACGTGCTGAAGACAGAACAGACAACACCACACATAAGCCATTGTGAAAGCACCCTCTTCTTAAGCTTGTATTAAAACTGAAACCTGGGTCATGTGCAGTCCCCACCACACCAGCCTATTTTCACAAAACCAGTTATCACTAGGGCAGCTTAGAGTCACAAAACTTCAAATACAGCACTTTAAGAAAAATATACACTCTTGTGTTAATGAATTAAAACATTTCCACCCCTTGGCACAAACATGTAATTAGCAGAATGAGCTGACTTGAACCACACGGAACAGAAAGCACAAAGCTCTTTTCCTGATCTTTCCCTATGTGGAGAATTTTCTCAGTAAAGAGGAGGAAAAAAGCTTAATAGAAAAAGAAAGGAAACTGACCTCTCCAACTTAACCCAAGGACACAGAAGATGCCACTAGCACAGAAATCTGTAGCAACGTGACCCTAATTACAATCTAAGCCATCTTAGAAGAGGGCCTTCGAGAGGACACTCAGATGTGTCCACTTCTGCTCAGTGTATGGCTCCCACAAGCCAACACTCTCCTTTATGTACTTCAAGGGATTATACTGATCAGACTGCATGACCCGTGAAAGTAAAAGTTGTAACCTAAGTGCTTTATGTAAAATCTCCACAAACATTAGTTTATTCATTGCCACTCCCACCCCTACAACAGGTTCTTTTGCTGTACTCAAACTGGCCTAGGACACTCTAAGTAGCCTCACCTGGCCTTGAATTTACAGCAATGACCCTATCTTAGCCTCTTCAGTTCTGTGATTACAGGTAAGTTTCAATTACACCCAACTTCCTTATTTAAAAGTTAAGAATACTGGAGCTAGAGATGACTCAGTGGTTAAAAGCATTGCTTGTCTAGAAGATCCAAGTTTAGTTTTCAGCACCCATGTCCGATAGCTCACAAATGCTACCATAGCTCCAGTTCCTGGGTATCTCAAGCTCTCTGGCCTCCTCAGGCATCCACATACATGCAGTATCCACTCACAAAGCCACACACACATAACCATAACAAAGAAGAGGGAGGCAGAAAGCAAACAAAAAAAGAAACAAAGTAACAAAGATGGTCAGGGAACTCCATGCATGGCTCAAAGGTTAAAAATTCTTCCTGCAGCCCTGCAGAGGTGTCACAAATCTTTAATCCCAGCACTGAGGAGGCAGAGACAGGAGGATCTCTGTGACTTTGAGGCCAGCCTGGACTAGAGCGAGTTCCATGACAAGTTCCAAAGCTATACATAGAAACCCTGTTTCAACAAACAAACAGAGTTCTTCCTGCTCTTCCAAAAGACCTGTATTTGGTTTCCAGCACCCACGTTGGGCAGCCTTTAAGACCAGCACTCAGGAGGCAGAGGCAGGCAGATCTCTGTGAGTTTGAGGCCAGTCTGGTCTACAGAGCAAGTTCCAGGACAGGCTCCAAAGCTACAAAGAAACCCTATCTCGAAAAAAACAAAAAAGAACGCTGGAGAGATGGCTCAGTGGTTAAGAACATTGTCTGATCTTCCAGAGAACCCGGGTTCAATTCCCAGCACCTACATGGCAGCTCACAACTGTCTGTGACTCCAGTTCCAGAGGATCCAACACTCTCACACAGACATACATGAAGGCAAAAACACCAATGCATATGGAATAAAAATAAACTTAAAAAAGAGGGGTAAAAAGAATATGATCAGAGTTTTCCCTATTGGGTTGCCTTGTCCAGCTTTGATGAGGGTATGTGCCTAGTCTTATTGTAACTTGTTATGCTGTGTTTGGTTGACAACCCCTGGGAGTCAGTCCTGATCTTTTCTGAAGAGAAAGGGAAGAGGAGTGGATCTGGAAAAAAGGGAGGTAGGGGGAGGAACTGGGAAAGAGGGAGGGGAAACTGTGGTCAGAATACAAGAGAAGACTAAATAGAGATGGTAGCTAGACAGACAAAGAGACAGACAGATAGATAGACAGACAAGACGGTGTTTGGGGTCAGGAGTCAGGAAGAATGTTGAAGAATGTCTCATGTTGTAATCTAATACTTGGCTGAGGCAGAAGGACAGCTGGGCGTTTAAATGAGTATCATCAGGAATGAAGTAAAGATTCACACACCAAAGGAAAAGCAGCAAAAACTGATCAGAAAATTTGAGAGAACTCAAATCTTATTGCATAGATTTCCAAATAGATTATCTATTTAACATAACTTACAACCAAGAATTATGATCTGTGTCTTGTTCATTTCACCATGTGTTATTTGTACGCAACATTTCATCCAACTCACCTTCTTTCTAAAGACTGAAAATGAAAGCCCACATGCTTTGCAAACTATATTGGGCCCTTCAGTAGCTGCTGGTGGGTAGGTGGGAAAGTCAGAGCTTGGTGTAAATCTGAATGGGCCGGTGCTTCCTGGAAATCCCGCCTGCTGACCTCTGACAGCTCCAGTTCCCATGACTTCATTTAGCAGCCCACAGCATGAAGCCCACATAGAAGTAGCACCCGCCTGAAAAAACCACAAATGCATAGTTTAAAACCAAGCAGAGGAGCTGGAGAGATGGCTCAAAGGTTAAGGACACTGGCTGCTGCTCTTCCAGAGGACCCAAGTTTGAGTCTCAGTACCCACATATTGGCCCATACTATCTATAATTCTGTTCCCAGAGGATCTGATGTTCTCTTCTGGCTTTGTAGGGCACCAGGTACACACAAGGTACGCAGATATATATGTAAGCAGAACATCCAAACGCCTTTAATCCCAGCACTCAGGAGGCAATGGCAGGTGGATCTCTGTGAGTTCGAGGCCAGCCTGGCCTACAGAGTGAGTGCCAGGACAGGATCCAAAGTTATACAAAGAAACCCTGCTTTGAAAAATAAAAAAGGGGGCTGGAAAGATGGCTCAGAGGTTAAGAACATTGCCTGCTCTTCCAAAGGTCCTGAGTTCAATTCCCAGCAACCACATGGTGGCTCATAACCATCTGTAATGGGGTCTGGTGCCCTCTTCTGGCCTGCAGGCATACACACAGACAGAATATTGTATACATAAATAAATAAATAAATATTTAAAAAACATTTTAAAAAAAAGAAAGAAAAATAGAAAAAGAAATAAGATAAGCCAGAAGTGATGGTGCATGTCTTTAATTTCAGCATTCAAAAAGCAGAAGCAGGTAGATCTCTGAGTTAGAGGTCAGCCTGGTCTAGGAAGTGAGTTACAGGACAGCCAAAGCAATTACAAAGACCCTGTCTCAAAAGTTAACAAATAAAATAAAGCCAAGTGGAATGTGGGCTGCCACTTTTCAGAGGTAAGTTTGCCTTAAGTAACTTTGAGATCACAAAGTAAGTGTCTCCAATCTATCATCCCCAACACAGTACTAAAGAAGCTTCAAATTCAGGAGCAGGTAGGGTAAATATTCCAAAAAGCACTTTATTTCCAAGCATCCCTAAGAAGAGACATTCACGTTACCAAAACTGCAAGTCATTGTGAAAGACAATTTTCTGATATTTCCAAACAAGAAAAAAAAAAAAGTTGAAGCCAGGCAGTGGAGGCGTATGCCTTTAATCCCAGCACTCTGGAGGCAGAGGCAGGTGGGTCTACACAGTGATTTCCAGGACAGTCTGGTTACAAAGGGAGGGAGGGAGAGAGGAAGGGAGGAAAATGAAACAGGGTCTAGAGGCCCAGGACTCAGATTTGCAATCCTCCCCGTCTCAGGTTTCTATAAGTAACTACACTGACTCTATGTCAGTCAAGTATGTCCTATGCAATGTTGGAGACATGCTAATCCCCTTTAAATGTCAGTTTTTTTATGAAATTTAAAGTCCTACGGTGTCTGAGTACTGGATACTACAGGTCTATTTCTCCAGCTATTATTTAACAGAAAGATAAGATATAAAACCATACTCTCATTAATCCTATTGTCTCACTCGTTATTGAGTATAATATGCTAGTTTTTATTGTTAAACAGCACAGGGAAGGAGGCTGGAGGTTAAGAACACTAGTTGTTCTTCCTAAGTTCAATTCCCAGCAACCACATGGTGGCTCAAACCATCTGTAATGAGATCTGGTGCCCTCTTCTAGCCTGCAAGCATACATCCAGGCAGAACACCGTATACATAATTAATAAATATATCTTTAAAAAAAACGGAAGAATGTAGCTCAGCGTCAAGAGTATACTTAGCATGCATGAGGTCCTGGGTTCCATCTTAAGCATGACAAAAAACAATCAAATGCCAAATAAAGCTCTCTATGGAGTTTTGTTTTTGTTTTTTATTTTTCTTAATAGGGTCCCTTAATGTAGCCCTAGCTGTCTTGCTTGGAACTTGCTATGGAGACCAGGCCTTGAACTCCCAGAAATCTATGGGAGAACTGGGATTAAAAGCGTGCACCACCATACACACCAGCAGCTCTCCAGATTTTAAAGTATCTCATGCATTTATCTTCCTTTTTGAATTCTACTTTATTTCCCACATTCTTTATAAAGAATATATTAATTTGACATTAAGGGAAGCACTTTTAAGACAAAAGCTGCTCTATCTTTTCAGGATGAAAGCACTAAACATCATTTCCAATGGTCAAAACACTCAACCTCACAAAATATAAAGGACATTTGCCCTCCCCCGAATAACTTTCTTTTAGGGTATTTTTGTTTATAACTTGTCTCTTTGTTCTCAGTAAGAATATGGTTATCACTCACTATACCACCTATAAACAATTTATTTTTATTTTTGTGTTGCTGGGAATACACCCCTGCTTGGCAAACACTATACCAGAGAGCTACAAGTACAGCTTCTGTCTCAGAAATGTTGATAAGTAAGCCTGTTAGATATAGATACAAATTTTTAAATGTGAGGCCAAAAACCATTTTCCCGTGCTTAAAGAATAAAACGTACAGTGTTTGGGATAGTAGAGGTGTTTTGGTTTTTTTGTTTTCTTTTTTTTTTTTTTTTTTTTTTGGTTTTCGAAGATAGGTTCTCTGTGTAGCCCTTACTGTCCTGGAACTTAATCTGTAGACCAGGTTGACCTTGAACTTGGAGATCTACCTGCCTCTACCTCCCAATTGCTGAGAATAAAGTCATGCGCTGCCACTACCACCTGGTTCCCATGTCTTACTTAAACATATTCTAGAACCTAGACAATGTGATAAATGGTAGGAGTCGAAGTACCTGAGGTATTAGCTAAAATGGCACCAAACAATACCACATGTGGCTCCATTTATTTTATCTGTCAAATATTATATCCTCAACTAGCTTAAAAAAAAAAAACTTGCTGGGCGGTGGTGGCGCACGCCTTTAATCCCAGCACTTGGGAGGCAGGCAGATCTCTGTGAATTTGAGGTCAGCCTGGTCTACAAGAGCTAGTTCTAGAACAGGATCCAAAGTTACAGCAAAACCCTGTCTCAAAAAACAACAACAACAACAACAACAAAAAAAAACCCTAAAGATTTAAAAACACAACTTGGAGTACTAATAATGATGATGCTGTTCTCACTATCCAGAAGTCATTCAAGTGAAGAAAAAAAAAAAAGAATGTAGTATACAAAATTCAACTGTCTAAGTACCTTCATCACTAACTTAAGGATTATACAGCTTCACATCCATAACTCTCAAAATAGTGTTGCTTTAAAAAGGCAAGTAAAATAATGAAGAGTCCCTATCTTAGATCCTAGAGCAATAGTTTGCTTATACATAAAAGCACAAAACACCAAACTAACAGTGATTCTTCCTTCAAGGAAAAAAAAGATTTGGCCAGGAGTGGTGATGCACGCTTTTAATCCCAGCACTTGGGAGGCAGAAGCAGGCAGATCTCTGTGAGTTCAAGGCAGGCCAACCTGGTCTACAGATAGAGTTCCAGGACAGAGAAACCATGCAGTCTTGAAAAACCAAAAGGAAGAGAAAGATTTATCAGCAGTCTTCAACGAAAACACGTGTGCTCTCTTTCACTATCCTCTCGGAGACAGGGTTTCTCCATCTCTCCAGGTAGTCCTTGCTATCCTGGAATTCTCTATGGAGACCCAGGGAAGTGCTGGGATTCAAGAAGATGCATGCTACCATGTCCCACCAAAAGAAAGCTCGCTCTTTCTTTTCTTTCCTTTCCTTTCCTTTTCTTTCCTTCCTTCTTTCTTTGAGACAAGATCTTACTGTGTAATTCTGGCTTGCCTGAACTAGCTACACCGACCAAGTTGTCCTCCAATTCATAGAAAGCTACCTATGTATGCCTCTGAGTGCTAGGATTAAAGGTGTACACAACCATATACCCAGCAATGTTCTTTTAAATCTTCAATCTAAAAAAAAAAATAAGAAAAATAAAAAATGTTATGGTGGAAAGGTATTAAGAAAGACACCCAACGTCCCCTCTGGCTTCTAAATACACACATACATGTAAAAATACACCAAAATCTTTTTTAAAAAATCAAAAATAAACTGTACTTCTAGTAGAGGGAACAGAGGACCTATTTGAGAGAAAATAAGTACAATTTTAGGTAGATGCTATTAATAGAGGAAAACAATATAGTCCCATTCCCTCATGGTGCTATGAAAGAGCAGGAATTTCCTTTGCCTCCAGAAAGAAAATAATCAAAAGGACACTAAGAGCTGAGGAGATAGCTCAGGTGGTAAAATGTTTGCCTACGAGCAAAAGAACCTATTTTCTACCCCAAGAACCTGCTTCCTACACACACAAAAGCCCATGTGAGGATATGAGGACACAAGTCTATAATCTCAGCAACTGGGAGGTGGAGGCGAGAGGATCGAGAGGATTGGAAGCTCAAAGTCATTCTTGGCTATATAGTAAACCGAGACCAGCTTGAGTTACAAGAGGCACTGTCTTGAAATATTAAGTAAGTAAACTCAACTATATAGTCAAAAAGCTGAGCATATGGTGAATCTATATCCCAGCCTTAGGAAGGAGACAGGCAGATCCTTGAGGCTTGCTGGCCAACCAGCCTTGCCTTCTTGGCAATTTCCAGGTCACTAAGTGTCTTAGTCACTGTTCTATTGCTGTGAAGAGACACCATAACAACTCTTATAGAAAAAAAGCATTTAACTGAGGGCTTGCTTACAGTTTCAGACAGTCCATTATCATCATGGTGGGGAGCATGGTGGGAGGCAGGCAGGTGCTGGAGGAGTAGCTGAGAGATACATCATGATCCATAGCAGATAAACTCTCAACTTGGCAGGGTTTTTGAAACCGTAAAGCCCACCCCCACTGACACATTTCCTCCAGAGGCCACACCTCCTAATCTTTTCAAATAGCACCATTCCTAGGTGACTAAGCACTCAAATATATGAGCCTATGTGAGTTACAACAGGAACAACCCCCAAAGTTCCCTCTAGACTATACACATGTACACACTCACATAATCACACACGCAGAGAAGACTTTTAGCTTTCTTTAAATATTTCATTATAAAAACAAAATAGTCCCACAGCTTCCCAGTCAAAAATATATTGCTGTCACACTTACTTAGTACAATGCACATCCATATCACTACTTCCAGCCCCAAACTATAGGAGAAGGGAAGAAAACAGTGAAAAAGCTAGGTTGTAGCCTCATTAGGATCTGTGAACTTTGGTCAAACACAGCCAATGAGAAAGTAACTCTGGGGGCTGGAGAGATGGCTCAGAGGTTAAGAGCATTGGCTGCTCTTTCAGAGGGCCTGAATTCAACTCCCAGGAACCACATGGTGGCTCACAACCATGCCTAATGAGATCTGATGCCCTCTTCTGGCCTGCAGACATACATGCAGGCAGAACACTGTATAAATAAATTTTTAAAAAGGAAAGAAAATAGCTGTTGCTTTAAGCGAACACTCTTGGCAGTATAGGAAGGGTAGAGCCCACAATGCTCCCTTCTCTAAGAACAGCATCTGCACCTTTTCAACCTATTTGACAGTTCAGAGTTCAAAGGGGGCTGTATGCACTCACTAGTCCTGTCTGGGGTATCCATCATTCCCACCTAGAGAACATGAAAAACATAACTTTCACTTCTATATGAAGCCCTGTGTCTTCTGACACCCCAGAACTGAAGTGATTTCTTTAGTAATCTGACCTCCCCTGTACTTGGGAACAGGCGGTTTTAGTTCCTGACCTCTGAGGCTGTACCATCATGTGCTAAGTGATGAAACTGTGAAACTGACCCAGACTGTGGTTCTCTGCATGTCAGACTCACCACAAAGCCTTAAAAATTATTCATGCCTGAAGACCTGAGCTTATACCTCGGGTCCACACGAGAACCACCTTCCCCAAAGTGTCCTCCAAATGCCACACAAGGGCTGTGGAATACATATGCACAAATAAACAAACAAATGAAATTTTAAAGGTTTTTAAATAGGGGGCCCTCTGATTTTGCTACTCTAGAGTACAGTTTGGGCAACAAATTTTTTTCTTTAACTCCCAACTGATTCTAATATATAGTCAATGTTTACAAGGTCAAGGCTTTCTGGGTCTGAGTGAAGATTCCTTCTTCCTGCTCAAACAATTTTGGCTAGAAAAGTCTGGGTAATGTCTCACCCACGTGCTCACCCAAGACTTCTCTATTTCTTTGTTTTCTGGGGTGTGCCTCTACTTTCCCACTTCCCTTTACAGCTCCCCAGTACTTTCAGAAAGTATTAGGTAGCTATATTAGAATGGCTTAGCTGAGGTTCTGTCAATTTAATCTGATTCTCAAATTAGTTCCCTTTACTGAAATTTAGTGATTTCTTTCATTTTACTTACTCTCTGTTCCCAACTGTTTTGCTTTGTTTTTCTTTTTCAAGACACAATCTTTCTACGTAGTCCTGCTACCAGTCTGGCCCTGAACTCAGATTCTTCTGCCACTATCTTGAGTGCTGAAATAAAAGTTGCACGCCATCATGCTGGAGCTACTTTTATGTCCTACTGAACTTCCTGTTTTCTTATGTGAAATCTCTAACCCCAGGAAAACTGGCACTGATGGTCTAGTCTCTCAAAAACAGGCACTGCTAAAAAATTTTTGGTAGCCAAGAGTGCACCAAGGGAGGCAGAAGCAGGAGGATCTCTGTGAGTTCAAGTCCAGCCTGGTCTACAAGGAGAGTTCCAGGACAGGCAGGATTACACAGAGAAACCCTGTCTCAAAAAACAAAACAAAATTGTTTTTAGGTCAGCAAGATGGCTCAGAGGATAAAAGCATTTGCCACACAAGCTTGATACCCTGAGTTTTAGCCCCTAAACCCAGATAAAGGTGGAAGGAGAAAATCAACTCCACAAAAGTTGTCCTCTTATCTCCACACTCTAGCCAGGGTGGCTCATGGGCATTCCCTCCTAGCTCCCATAAACACAATAATAGTAAAGTTAAAAAAAAAATTGACTGAAGCCAGGCATAGTGGCACAGTTTTAATTACAGCACATAGAAGACAGGCAGGTGGCTCTGAGTTCAAAACCAGCCTGGTCTACATAGCAAATTCTAGGTTAACCATGGCTACATAGTGAAGCACTGCCTCAAAAAAAAAAAAAAAAAAGAAAGAAAGAGAAAAACACCAACAAAAAACCCAACATCTTTTGTCCTTCACTTTCAATTAGAAGAATTTCAAGATGGCTCATTGATTAGAAGAGTCTGAAAGTTCTTCCAGATGAACATAGTGAGCTCCAAGTCTACATAGTGAGACCCAGTCTCCCAACAGATAGATAGATAGATAGATAGATGGATGGATGGATGGATGGATGGTGTGTTGCAGATGGTTGTTAAAGTATTCTGAATGTTTCTAAGAACATTCTAAGAATGAACTTAGCCCTCTTCCAGTGTCAGTTTTCAAATGATCTCAATGTATGTCTTGTGTGTATATACATGATGTACAATACACTTAGAATCCCTGAAGCAGGGAAAAGTTTCAAAATACTCCCACTACTAGGGAGGCAAAGGCAGGGCAGATCTCTATGAGTTCAAGGTCAGCCTGGGCTACAGAGTGAGCTACAGGACAGGCTCCACAAGTACAGAGAAATTCTGCCTCGAAAAACCAATAAAAGGCCTCGAAAAACCAATAAAAGGGGCTGGAGAGATGGCTTGGCGGTTATAAGCACTGACTGCTCTTCCAGAGGACCCAGGTTCAGTTCCCAGCACCCACATGGCAGCTCATAAGTGTGTGTAAATCCAGTCCCTGAGCGATCTGAAACCTTCACACCATTGCACATAAAATAAAGTTTCAAAAAAGGGGGGGAGGGGAAGGGAAGGAAAAACCAATTTAAAAAAAATACTCAAAGGTTACTATAAATTTTGACCCTTTTGTTTTTGTTTTTCAAGACAGGGTTTCTCTGTGTAGGTTTGGCTGTCCTGGAACTAGCTCTTGTAGACTAGGCTGGCCTCAAACTCACACCTGGCTCAAATTTTGGCTCTTATACCACAGTCCAGCTCAAATTTTGGTTCTTATACTATATACTGTGATCTCTTTTAATGATTCCATTAAATAAAATATTAACCAGCCAGATTAGAGAACGTGGTTTCTATGATGACTAAATGACAGAGAGGGGTGGGGAAAAGGCAATGGACAGAGGATGGAGTTGTTGATGGGTATAAAAACTAAATCATTTAAGTCATTTACTTTCAGTTAAATAAACAGTAGAAATTATAACACTTCCTAAGAGTCCACTGTGCTGCCAAATGAAATATAATAATATTGTCCTTGCTGGGCGGTGGTGGCATACACATTTAATCCTAGCACTCGGGAGGCAGAGGTAGTTTGAGGCCAGCCTGGTCTACAGAGTGAAATCCAGGACAGCCAGACACCATCTTGAAAAACCAAAATAAATAAATAATAAGAGTATTCTAAGTTGCAATGATATTTTGTAACTACACTGGAAAGGTAAAAAAAAAAAAAAGTGCTCACGGGGGTTGATGGCTCAGTGATTAAAAGCACTGGCTGCCCTTCCAGAGACCAACTTTGATTTGCGGTACCCACATAGTGTCTCACAACTATTAACACCAGTCCCAGAGGTCTGACATCCTCTTCAGACTCCATGGATATCAGGCATGCTCATGGTGCAGACATATATGCATTCATACCTATAGAATAAAATTTAAAAATTTAACAGAACAAGAACTTTAGAGGCTAGAATGATGGCTTAGCAGTTAAGAACACTCACTGCTCCTACAGAGGACGTAGGTTGAGTTCCTAGCACCTAGGTAGCACAAGGTATCTCACAACCATTGATAACTCCAGTTCAGGGGATCTAATGCCAACTTCTGACCTTTGAGAGCAGCAGGCATACAGATGGTGCACATACATACATACAGAGAGACAGACAGACAAAACACTCATACACATAAACCTAAAAACATTTTTTAAGAGTTTTTTAAAACTCTCACAGTATCTTCACCTTTAAAGTTAGTTCCAATATTTCCCACTCCAGACCACACAATTGCAATCCAAGCACTCAGGCAGATCACTCACCAGTTTAAGAATAGCCTATATATTCAGTTCCAGGCCACTCAGAGATACAGTAAGACCCTGTTTCAAAACAAAGAAGTTACCTTTTCCAAAAACCTTCCTTGCTTCCAGCAGCAAGGGGCTTGTTTTGAAATCAAATCACATGTTGTACCAGCTGGAACTCTCAATTGTCCTGACTCCAGCCTCTACCTCACAATACCTGCTGGGATTACAGGTAAGCAACAATGAAAGCATCATTATTTTTCTTGCTTCTGAGGGTTGGTTTTACACACACACACACACCTTACATTATTGTGGTTTGTAATGTGGCTACTTTGGATCTGTCTGTATTTGTCTGGGGTTTTTGTTGTTGTTGTTTGGTTTTTGATGAAAGCACTTGCTTTGTAGCAAGTGGTGGCCTCAGACTTGCAGCAATTCTCCTGCTTCAGCCTCCTAAACATTGATTACAGGCCTGTGCCCCCATGCCTACCTTGTCTCCTTTAATTGGCAAACTCCTTCCTAAAGAGAGGGATTATATTCTGAGTTACCTCTACTCTCTCTTGACTAATACAAAGAAGAAACTGGACAAACAGTTGCTGAATTATTCTAGCCACTTGACACTCTTTCAATCGTCCACAGTAAATCTTAAACTCTTTGTGAAGGTTGAGCTAATCTAGCAGCCTAAAGCCAACAACACTTATTCGATGAGATGAACACAACCGTCTCTGTAGGGAGAGGTATCATCACCTTCTGACTCACGTCACTTGGTTTGATTTGGGCAAATGAATCAATACCTAAATTGACTGTTGTACACGGACTCTTTAGAACTCTCTGTGACGAAGTTGAGAAAAATCATCTCCCCAAAGTAGGCCAGAATCACGCACATGCCCCCTCCCCTTTTCTGAAACTTCTATCAGTGATGCTCCCACGCTCTCACTCCCACCTGGGAGAATGGCTGTCAAATTACTTGCTGCGTACCTAGTGGCGATGCAGACGCAGCTAGCGCTCTAGGTCACGGCCACAGCGTCTAAAGCCGCGGAAAAACTCCTCTGCGGGGCGGACCCCAACCCCTAGCCTCTCTAGCCAGGCTACCCCGGCCCCAGCCTCACACTGCCCGCACCGCTCTCTGCCTTCTGTCTCGTGATGCCCCCCACGTCTGGGTTGGCTCAAGGACTCGAAGAGGCAGAGGGCACAGCAGTAGGCAGAGGGCACGGCAGTGGGCAGAGGCACCGAGGCCTGAGGAGAGCTCTAGCGGTTTGAAAAGCTCAGGACCCCGAGAAACGCACAGGGTCGGAGAACAGGGCCCAGCGGGCTGAGACTCAGGGCCACTCGCCTCCTCCTTGGCAAGGCCGCCGGGGGGCGCTGTGGGAGCTCGGGCGGATCCGCTAGCCCGGCCTCTCCGGCAGGAACCGGTCGGGGCGCCCCCCGCAGTGGTGGTCTCTCAGGAAGCCGCCGGGAAACCTGTGAGACAGAGTAAAAGGAGACGCTCCGGGCGCATAGGAGAGGCAAGGAGGGCCTCCCGGCTCCACCAGCCTCTCACCTTCATGGCCGCGACCGCCTCGGTTCGGTCGGCTCTACCCGGGAACTCAGCACCATAGCAGCCTCCTCACACAACGGACATCCTTCCTTCTAAGGCGGCGAATGCTGCGCCTCCCGAGGCCGACTGAGCGTCCCGACGTAGGGGGCGTGGCCACGTCCGGCTCACGCCCCGGGAAGACGCCGATCGGCGAGCAAAGCTCACCAATCCGAAGCAGTTCTTCGGGGGGCCGGTCACAAAAGCCAATGAAATTGTAGGGAAGGGGCGGGGCCTCGGATGGAGCCTCGGGAGCAAAGAGGGGCAGGGCTGGGCTGGGCGGGGCCCGACGCTTCGGCTCTCGGAGGGGAAGCTCCCGAGACTGGATTGGCTTCCCACTTCCGTGCCTAAATTCCCCTACGGAGACAGAAAAGAGTGTGATGGGGTGGGAGAAGCGGTTGGTTTGGAGGATTTTGTTCTGACCTGCCGAGCAGGCCCTCGAGGCTTACCCCATTCTCCGAATGTTCTAGATTCCCACATTGTGAGACTCTCTGGTCTCCTCAAGTAGAGGTGTAGAAAGAACCACTAATAAGGTTTATTGGATTAAATTCCCATCGCTCTTTTATTTGTCGTTGTTTAGCGTGGAGGGCGGCGGTAAGACAGAGTTTCTCTGACTGTCCTATGAAGACCAGACTGGCCTCAAACTCAAAGGAGCCGCCTGCCTCTGCCTCCAAGTGCTGGGATTAAAGATGTGCACCACACCTGAGACCAATTGACCTTTGAAATGTTCAACACGACCCAACTCCTAACCCTTTGAAGGAATTCACGTGATCCTTTCAAATTGACTTGGGAGGCAAGGAAACAAGTGGCAAATGATGGTACCAATTTCTTCAACCTCACTGGGTTAAGGCTTTAAATAGTTGGTTTTCCTACACTTCTTTCTCTCACTTCAGAATAATAATTGAAACCTTGCCGGGCGGCAGTGGCGCACGCGTTTAATCCTTTATTATGGGAGGCAGAGGCAGGCATATCTCTTGAGAGTTCAAGGCCAGCCTGGTCTACAAGAGCGAGTTCTAGAACAGGATCCAAAGCTACAGAGAAACCCTGTCTCAAAAAAAAAAAGAAAAAGAAAAAGAAAAGAAAGAAAGAAAAAGAAAAGAAAAAAGAAAAAGAAAGAAAGAGAAAAGAGAAAAGGAAAAATAAACTGACACCTTAGACCTGAAAATGTTAATTCCTTCCCAGGCAGTTCTATTCCCGCCCCGTTCCTCAATGCAGGGTTTCTTTGTGTCCTGGGGCTGTCATGGAACTCGCTCAGTAGACCAGGCTGGCCTGTTCTCAGACAGATTCACTTGCTTCTGCCTCCTGAGCGCTGGGGTTAAAGGTGTGCTACTACCACTGCCTGGTCACTATCATTTTAAAAAAAAAAAACACAACAACAAACACACTTTAAAATTCTTTACCTTGTGTATTTATGCACCATATGTGTGCCGTGACCAAAAGTCAGAAGATGTTGGATCCCCTGGAACTGAATTACAGATGGTTGTGAACCATTATGTGACTGCTAGGAATCAAACCTAGGTCCTCTGCAATAGTAACAGTAACAATGCTCTGCCTGGCGATGGTGGTGAATGCCCTGCACTTGGGAGGCAGAGGTAGGTGAATCTCTGTGAGTTCAAAGACAGGCTAGTCTACAGAGCGAGTTCCAGGACAGGCTTCAAAGCTACAGAGAAACCTTATGGGGGGGGGGCGATAAAAGGGTAACAGCACTCTTAACCACTGAGCTATCTCTCCAGCCCCTGTCTATTCCTTTTTTTTTTAATTTATTTATCGTTTTTGAAGACTTTATTTATTATATATGGAGGCCAGAAGAGGGCACCAGATCTCATTACAGATGGTTGTGAGTCATCAGGTGGTTGCTGGGAATTGAACTCAGGACCTCTGGAAGAACAGTCAATGCTCTTAACCTCTGAGCCATCTCTCCAGCCCCCCATCTATTCCTTTTTAACAGATCTGCTTAGATGTACTCTTTGGCAGAACACTCATGCAGCTGGACACTGTGGCACAGGCCTTTCATCCCAGGACTGGGGAAGTAGAAGCAAGTGAATTTCTCTGAATTCCAGACCATCTTAGACAATGTAGAATGACAATTCTACATTGTCAGACACCATCTTAAGACACAAACCAAAGCATAGAGAGCTATTTTCTTCGACTGACTATGTCAAGCCTATTTTTCTTCAAGTTCTATTGAGATAATGTAATTTCTTGTCTAGGATGAACCTGAGTTTTCTTATTTGGGAAAATTCAGAAAGACAGTCATCCCCCATGTTAGTGGCAGCAGCAGCACTTCATTAAAAGAGAAACTATCAGAAAGCACTTATTCTTTCTTATCATCCAGGCAAAGAACAGTCATTAAACATTTGCTGATGGGGCTAAGGAGGCGACTCAGTCATTAACGTGCCTGCTGGATAAGGACTAGGACCTAAGTCCCATCCTTGGCACCCATGAAAAAGTCAGGTTTGGTGGCACCTATCAGTAATTCTAGAACTCAGTGGGTGGAGACAGGAGGATCCCTGGAGCTTGTTGGCCAACATTGGTGAGCTCCAGGCTCAGTGAATGCATGACTTTGTCTGAGCAAGGGAGGAAGCAATTAAAGAAAACAACCAACATTGGCTTCCAGCCTCCACCCATACACACATTTTTTTTTAGCTAAAAAATATTAAGCCAGACATGGTGGCATACATTTTTAATCCAAGCAGGCAGGATGCAGAGAATTTAAGGCCAATCTGGTCTACATAGTACATTTAAGAACATCCAGATTTGCTGGGGATGAAAAGACTGGTTTTCCCTCAATAGTCTATAAGGGTTAGTGAGTAAATATCAAAATATTCTGGCCATCATTAGCTGTCTCAGAAATGCAAATAAAACCACAGACATCACTCCTACTCAGATGCTGGAAAGAGCAAAACACGTGTAAACCTTGTGAAGAAGAGGAAGACTCACTGGTGGTCGAAATGTAACATGAGAAGGCTGCTGGGCAGAATTCTGGCAATCATTTAAGAATGTGAAGCATAAAGTTATCTATGACCCAAGAACACATGACCGCAGAGAAACTTAGAGTAGGATTCACAGTAGCTAAAATGTGGAGGCTACACAAATGTCCATCATTGAATGAGTGTAGAAACATGCACAGTCTTTTCTTTTTGAGGGGGGGCTGACCCCTTGGGTACAACAGAATATTTTCTGGCTTGACTAACATGCATGAGGCTTTAGGTTCAATCCCTAGTGCTGCCAATGGAAAACAGAAACTCATTTACAAAATATGTCTGAGTCATCAAAATGACTCAGTATGTAAAGTACTGTGGGCAAAGCCTGAGGAACTCAGCTTAATCCCCAGGATGCATTTAAGGTGAAGGAGAGAATCAGCTCCACAGAGTTGGCTTCTGACCTCCACATAGATGTTGGGTACAACCATCATATACTTTCCACCCCCCATCCCTCTTTCTCTCTTCCTCTCCTCTCCTCTCCTCCTCCTCCTCTTTCTCTCTCTCCTCTCTCTCTCTCTCTCTCTCTCTCTCTCTCTCTCTCTCTCTCTCTCACACACACACACACACACACAACATAGCAAATAAAATTCAGGGGCTGTCTAGATAGTTCAGTGGGCAAAGGCATTTGCATTCAAGCTTGATGAACTAAGTTCTAGCCCTGGATTTGATATGATGGAAGAAGAAAACCAACTTCCCGAAGTTGTCCTCTGACCTCCATACAGGAACCAGAATATGTGCAGTATGTTCATACATGTGTGTGCACATGCACAGGCACACACACACACACACACACACACACACACACACACACACTAAATGTAACTTTAAAAAGAAAAAAAAGAAAAAGCAAAAATTATGTCCAGAATGTGTATCACATATTAAATGTTCAGGGACTAAGGAGTTGAGGACGAGGAAGTGGCTGCTATTGAGAATGCGGTTCCCTTTTGTCATGGAGTATTGCTTTTTGCTGGTGATAGGGATCAAATCCAGAGCACTACCCTGTGTTCTGTCACTGAGTTATGCCTCAGACACATTCTGGAGGATGGAAAGGTTTTTAAACTGGCTTGAATGGAAGTAGCCACGGGAAAAGAGTCTGCGTGAGTCGATGATTCCTTACTACCTGGAGTTGAGACTTGAGATATTTGTATTTTTTTTATTTAGTTTTGTTTTTTGAGATTGATTTTATTTTTTGTGTATGCCTCTATAGACATACTTGCACTGCATGTATGTCTAGTGTCTGAGGGGACCTAAAGAGGGTGTCAGATCTCCTGGAACCAGAGTTCAAAATGTCTGTGATCCACCATGTGGGAGCTGGGATTCAAACCTAGGTCCTCTGGAGGAGCTACCAGTGCTCCTAACCACTGAACAATCTCTCTAGTCTGTTATTTTTGAGATGTCATCTCATCATGTAACTCTAGCTGGCTTAGATCTCACTATGTAAACCAGACATGGTGGCACATGTCTTTAATCCCAGCACTTAGGAAGCAGAGGGAGGCGGATCTCTGTGAGTTCGAGACCAGACTGGTCTACAGAGCTAGTTCTAAAACAGCCAGAACAGTTATACAGGGAAACCCTGTCTTGAAAGAAAAAAAACTAAAAAACAAAAAGAACTCACTATGTAGACCAGGCTGGTCTTGAATTCACAGAGGTCAGACTGCCTGTGCTTGCCAAATGCTGGGATTAAAGGTATATGAAAAGACTCATATACTCATATACCTATAAAGGTATATGAAAGTCTCATGCATCCCAGGATGATGGCCTCCAACTTGCTATGTAGGTAAGGAGACTTTGAACTCTGGATTCGCGTGCCTCCACTCCCCCAGTGTTAGAATTACGGTGATTGGCTACTACCACTGGCTTTTGAAACTTCACACTTTCAGTAAAAGAGATTTGTTGTGTGATGGAATGTTGCTTCACTTCATTTCATTCTCCATATAAAAACGGTCTTCTTTCAACTGTGTGTTAATTGTATCAATTATAGTTTGAGAAAATGTGGTTTCCTAACTTATGATAAACTACTACTTTGTATTTCAGAGATAAAAAGAATTGCAAAGACACATGAGATAATTTATTGTAGCTCAATTACTTGTTTATTGTATAGCGGGAGTGT